AAAAATCGCGTCAATCGAGAACAGCACTGCACATTCGTCTGTTCTCGATTGACGTTTTAGTGTATTATCCAATTGATAATTAAAATAATAATAAATATTATTTAAAAAAAAAAATAATATTTTACTGAAGTAAAAATTTCCACTAATTAAAATTTAGAAAATAAAAAAATTTCTCACGCGAAAAAAATAATTTTTCAATTAAATTATCGGTGATATTAATGCAATTTTATTTACTGATATCAAATCAATCAATCAAGCATTTATTATCATCTAAAATTTATTAAAAATAATTATAATCACACCAATCTCTGTCACAATTAAATTAATTAAATATAATTTAAAATATCTTTTTTTTTAAATTTAGAAAAATTAAACTCCAAACTATGAAAGATATAATAAACTTGAAATGAAAAAAAAAAGAATAATAATGTAAAAATTAATGACTTGTGTATGACTGCAAAAATTTTAATAACTGTTTGCGAGACAAAAATACAGTACATAAATCAAATTAAAATTAAATTAAAAAAAAAAGAAGGAAAATTCTTTCATGTACTACGTGTGTCACATTTTTTAATGACAAAAGTAAAAAATGTATATAAAAATTTAATTAATAATTCATTTAATTAAAAATCATTTATTTTATAAATTCAATGAAAAATCAAAATGTAATAGAATTGAAAATCATATTATATCTTTAAAATAATATTATTATTATTATTTTCATTATTCGTTAAATGTAAATTACAAAGTGAATATAACAATAATTTTAAATGAATGAGATCATTAAAATGGGCTATACTGAGGGAGAGTGAAGTTTAATTAAATTCATGAAAGTTGCGTTCATTTACAGACAGAGAGTGAGAGAGAGAGAGCAATGTAATTGTGACAGAAAAGATAAGCACGGCTGATGGAAAGCCGTGAAAAATAACGCTGATGCCCTTAATCAGTTTGTGCAATACCGATTAATACTTGTATCCTGTAAAAGCGCGCACGTTTTTGTCACGATCGATAGAAAACGACTTGCGTGGTCAGCAAATATTTTACTTCCATAATTTACACACATATACAAAAGATGCATATTATTTTATAAAATAAACTCAACAACCATTACTTCCGCATATATATCTCTTACAAGCTACTTATTACATCGCTAATTTACTTCAATTAAAATCAATTTAATTTAAAATCATATTTCCTCAAAAATAATACAAAAAATTTTCGAATTCAAGAAAAATTAAAGGGCGCATATTATTTTATAAACGTAATTAGTTAGAATTTTCATTTAAAAGAATTTTATTAGAAATTTTCATTTCTTGAATTAGGATTTGGCTGAATTTTTTTTTTTTTGTTTTCCCAATAGAATTACCGAATTACTATTTTACCTAATTTTTCTTTATCCGTAACTTTTTAATTAATTCTGATTCAAACGAATTTTATTTTTTTATTTAGCAAAATTCTCATGTAACAGAATTTGAAGTGATTCAAATTCAAAAACTTCCAAATTTACCGTATATCTTCATTATCCGAACTTTTTATTTTGCACGAATTTTCATTTGACCGAACAATAATTGGCAAAAAAAAATTACGGTCACAATTTTTAAATTAACTATAATCACAATTTTTTTTATTAATTTCTGATTTAAAAATCACGTCAAAAATCTTTTTGTCCATTTATTGTTTGTTCGTTCATTTGCAATTTCGGCTAAATAAAAATTCGAACAAATAGTTCGAATAGTTTCGGTAAATGGAAAAAAAAATTTAAAAATTCAAATCTAAAATTCTGCCAATAAATTAATAATTATATATTCTAATTATAAAATTTAAATTAAATAAAAAGTTACAGGTAAAAAATTCTATATATAAAAATTCGATATTTTTTCGAATTTTCAGTTAAGAAAAATTAAAAAAAAAGTCAATTAAACGCTATAATTTGGAAAGAATTAAAGAAAATTCTAACTATTCTAATTAAAGAATTTTCTTTAATTCTTTCCAAATTATAGCGTTTAATTGATTTTTTTTAATTTTTCTTAACTGAAAATTCGAAAAAATATCGAATTTTTTTAATTTGGAAAGAATTAAAGAAAATTCTAACTTAATGACCAAATGGAATAATAAAATACCTTAAAAAGGGAATCGTTATTAGATAATTAAAAATTGAATTAAAAAAAAGTGAACAATAATAAAAAAAGAATAATATAAATCCATCTGTATAATAAAAACGAGAATAACTTAACGAGTATAAAGAAAATTTAAAAAGGGATAATGAATCTTGAAGAAAACGACTTGACCATTTTGTACCACTGAATGGAATGATATAATTAGGGAAATAAATATACTAGAGAGAGAGAAAGTAATAATTTTCATTCTCCTTGTTAATAAATTAGTTCCAATAGGAAATTTTCCAAATGAGAAGATGGGTAATAAAAAGAAGATTTATTTATTTCATAAGGAAAGTTTAAAGACACCTCGCGTGTCCTCCTCGTTAACCAACGCTCTTCTATAAAGATCGCTTATTTCATTTCATGCGAGTGGGAAAATAAATTTGCAATACGAACTTGACACATGGCTTCATTTGCTTTTCTAGATACGAAAGTAAAGTTTCAGAATATGCAAAGGAATGTTTTCCTGAGAGGGGATTGACAAATCATTGCTTGGTGTTTCTCTCTCTCTCTCTTTCTAGATTCTTGGCACTTTAGCAAACTTCTCAAGGAAAAGAGACTCCGTCTCGCTACTAAGTTTGTAAAATCATCTCGCTCTCTTTCTCACTATACACATCTCTGTCCTGTCGACGTGCAGACATTAACATAATAATTTTCATACTTTTCTTCGCGACAATATAACGTGCACAATTTTTTAAATGTGAAATAACTTTCCATCAGAATAAAAATGATTATTTTGAAAAAAAAAATATTTTAAAAATTTGCAAAGAAAATTATTTAAAATTGAGGAAACGATTTTAAAATATGTAATAAGCTCAAGTTCTTCTTGACAAAATGTCGAGTTTTCATTTTTCAAATCCTCTAAAACAACCGCGGAATTGGAGGGCACAATAAAATAATTAAGTACTACCCGCGAGTACTAGACTCCTTTCGTTTAATTGCTCGTCATACAGTTTTCAAGTACACTTTCCATGCGCGCGGTGCACAGTATATATATTCTTTCACAAACCCTCTCTCTCTCTCTCTCGGTCCCTCTTCCTTCATTTTCAGATTGTAACTTAATTAAAAAGCATTCAATATCACGAGCGCAATTTATCCACTAAATCAACTCCTTTTAACTAATATAATACAAACATTACACGCACATAATTTTTGTTATACAAAAACACTTTAGAGAGATTTTTTTTTTTTTATTTTCTAAAAGAAGATTTTATATCTGTTTCTATTTTTTTCTCATTTATTTGAAAATTTACGAACGCGTAATAAAATTCTCAAGTTGTTACATTTTTATATGCTGCATTAAAATCCCCCCCCCCCTCCTCCTTTCTGCAAATTAGTTTATAGAATTCTATTATTTTTTTTCGCAATTATAGTCTCAAAAACTCATTTCAACAAAATAGGAAAAAAAAGAAAAAAAAAAAAATTATAGTGTAAGGAAGTGACCCAGTTTAAGCAATTTTTTTTCACATATATAAAAAAAAAAGAGGGGATAGGGGGGAATATGAAGCGCGTCGATCTTGGAAATGAGGTCGACACGTTCTAAACTAAAGCCATCATATCATTAGGTAAGACGAGCTTTTTTCGCTATAAAAAAAGAATTTAATTTCTATTTTATTTTTAACTAAATATTTGTATACGCAAATTCAAATTGCTTTGAAATATTTATCTTGAAATTTCGTTAATAGTAAAACGGGTGTGTTATGTATCGTGTGCGCTTCATTAGGTTGGCACACGACCTTTTCGTGCAATGTGCAAACTTAAGAACACTTAAGTTCATAATGCTCCAATGCTACCAATCTCCCTTGGGTCTTTTCTCGACGCTATCGCTAGAGAGAGAAAGAGAGAGAGAGAGAGAAAGCATCTCTCTGATGCTTATATGCATAACGCCATGATATTATGGGTCATTACCATCGTAAGCGTAACCTTCCAATGTAAATGTAGTCAAGTCAAAGAGTTGAAACGCATATTCTAAATTCTACATCGCATATCAAATGCGAGAGAAAATTTGTTTTCAGATTCATTTCAATTTGATATCTAAAATCCCGCATCATAAATTTTTTTTTAGCACCATCCAATTTTTAAACTGACAAAAAAAAAATTTATTTTATTCACGTAATCAATTATTTTACATCAAATAAATATTTATTCGTATTAATTAAATAATTATTTTGCACCAAATAAATATTTATCTGAATTAAATAATTATTTTGCATCAAATAAATATTTATTCGTATTAATTAAATATTATTTGAGCCAATTAAACGGTATTTGATTCAAATACAAAAATTGTTATTATTTAATTCAAATAAAAATTATTTTGTTGAAGTAAATATTTATTTGGTTCAAGTAAATATTTATTTGGCTCAAGTAAATATTTATTTGCCTCAAGTAAATATTTATTTGGCTCTAGTAAACATTTATTTAATAATACGCACGTAACTGATTAAAAAAAAAAAACTTTTCAGAGTCCCCTTAAATTTTTCTATAATAAAACACTAAAATAAAAAAATAAAATTTTCTTTTCCAAATCACGGAAATTGAAAAATTATAAAATCATTTAAATCGCTGACCGAGAGAAAAAAATAGAGAGCGAGAAGCATATAAAATCCAATTTTACAGCCACTTTTAATGTTTAATGTCGCAATGCAAAAAAAAATCCCCGAATTAGAAAAAAAAGAGACTAAAATAAAAAATAGATTCTTCATTGAATCATAAAATATTTACGCGCTTTTGTTATCTTTTAATGGATATTTAATCTAAAGTGATTATAGATCAATAAAATTTTCATATATGTAAATGTATATAAAAAAAATTTTTTTAAATTCTTGAGTAAAAACTCACCTTAGCGAAGTCAATTTTCAGTGTACAGCATCCTGAATATATGTCGGCCCCATGAAGTGTTTCTTTCGCTCTCGTCGCTGACTCCACTGAATCGAACGTAATATCATAGCTAACAGTTAAGGAATATACAATTTTTTTTACCTAATAAAACAAAAAAGATACAATTAACTAAAAACCAAAAAAAAAAAAACAAAAAAAAAATGAAAACAAAAACAAAAAATAATAAAAAAAATAGATAATAAAAATAATTAAATAAAAAACCAGAAGTTATTGTCTACCTAAAAATATTTAACCGATGATAAAATCGAATTATTAAAACTCACGCCCTGGGTCATACACGCGGACCAGTTTTGTATATAAAAATATAAATTGTAAATCAGTGAATGGTTTTGAATTGAATTTCGTTATTTAAAATTCCGCTTACTCTCGCGCCAGAGGTTATTTTTCTTTTCACTTTGAATAAAAATAAAATGAAAACAAAAAAAAAAAAAACATGATGTTATCAAAAAGGCAAGTTTTTTGACATTAAAAATGTGCTAAGCGTAAATGAACGAGGTCAAAACGAAAAAAAAAAAAAAGTATATAAAAGCCATCTTGTTTCAGCCACTGCTTCATTAGTGAATCGTTCCCGTTAAAGTCTCGCAGAGTCTTTGAAGCTCTTTTTTGTCAACTTTTATATATATATATATGAACTTTCCCCTAATCATTCTTGACTCTATTTACACGCGGAAAAATTTATATACAAACAAAATCCCCAGGTGCATTGTTTTACGTGACAGTTTAATTAAGTATTGTAAAGGATATTCAACCATGGCCTGGACGCCATTTTTCTTGAAGATAACGATGCGTTGAACTTGTCCGCTAGATGTACTAATTGTGTGTAATACCTCCTGAAACAGAGTAAAAAAAAAAAGAAGACGTTACTAAATAATTCCAAAAAAATTTCAATCACTACAAAATTAAATTCTTTAAATAATAATAATCATAATTGATTAGGGAAAAATTTACAATGAAATAATAAAAAAAAATACCATTAAATCAACTCTTAAAATATTAACGTAAATTCCAAATAAAAAAACTCATTTCTGACAATGTAAATTACGTTCAATATTCAAAAGGCACTTTAAAAAAATATATATCCGGATTATCATTGAGGATTTACTGGACGTTAATAAATTCGTATCAGTATTAGTAAAACGGTAAACGTTGGATTGTATACATAATAATCCGTAAATAAATAACTACTCTTTCATAATGTAAACGGGCAAAATGTTCAAATGAATAATTTCTCGTTATCAAGGATTAATTTGCAAAAAAAACATTAAAAATAAATTTAAAATATATTTTCAAAATTAAAAAGAAAAAAAGAAGTAATAATAATTATTGAAATCGTTTAACGCCATCAGGTGTATATGTTTACCTGTAGCTAGTGCCCAACTACTAGTTTTTAGTTGAGAGAAATCTTGCTAGAATGCACGAGTGATGACACAGTGTGGCTTCATGCCAAAATTGCTTTTAGGCTTTGACTGAATTTCGAGACTTGTGTCTTTCGTTCCAGCTGTTTCGCGAAACCGAAAACGTTCTTTTTATGCAATTCGAGTAAACGGATAAACATAGATCCAATAAAGCAGCTGTCGAAATTATTCAAAGCGTCATTTCCTTTTGGTTCAACAATCTTATTATTTTACCTTTTATTATATTCTCAGTTTTTTTCTCATATCACCTAATTAAAAATAGCATATTTCTTGAAATTCATATCGAAATTTTTCAAAGTAAATTTATATATTAAATTTTTGATTTCCATATCGTAAATTTTTAATTCAATTTTCGCTTCACTAAATTTTCACATGTCTCATTATAATTTAGTCAAATTTGCATTTGGCGGAACTAAACATGTCATGTGGCAAATTTATTCATCGAGTCACGAATCTATGAACTGTTGATAAAGTAGAATGGCGGGAAATTTGAATTTATAGAAAAAAAAAGAAGTCTTATAGACATTTCTAATGAACTGAATTTTTTAAATGACATTTCAACTTTTGAATTACGTACCGTAAATTAAAATGCCGACGAACCATTAAATTGGAATGAAATCGAAATGACAAAGCAAAGCAATTGAGGTCAAACGTTTTTGCCCCTAAAATCAATAAAAAAAAAAAAAGCAGTAATTTGTGGAGAAAAAGTCTCCCTTTGATAAATATACAATTTTAGAGTTGTTAATCTAAATTCCAAAAACTAAATTTCCCAAATCTAATGAAGAGTAACTCTTGAGAAAACTCTTTTATTTAAAACTAATTTCCAAAGCAATTTAAAGGAGTTATGGTGGTGTTAATGCCTTGTTACATTCCAAGAGAAGGAGAGAGAGAGAAAGAGAGGATGAGGCAAACTGTGGCTAGTTCGCTAAATCGAATTGATCTTCCTCAAGGTTGTCTAGTTTCATTATTGAGTAGAACCAAAGCAATATTTTCTGAGGCAATCTCGTCTTAATCTCATTTGCCAGCGGTCTCTGCGTGAAAAAGATATGAACTAACGCAATTACATGGTTCAACAACAAATGTTTTTCTAGGTCTTGTTCTAAGAACAATGTGGCTTTAGTGCAAAAGGAGAAAACATTCTGCCTATTTCCCTTAGGAGCAATTCCATACTTGGAACCTTGGTGCATCCCACATGTTTCTCTTCAACACAAATACAGACTGCACTTGTACATCTGCATGCAGTAAATTGAACTACTATGCATGAAAAGGGCATTAGGAAAATGAAAATTTTCCATTTATTATTCATATATGGAATTTGAAATGGAGACAACAAAAGTTAATTCAACCGAAAAGTTGCTTTCAATTTATGATGATGATGTTAATTATACAGTGAGAGAGAGAGAGAGTGAGGTGACAAAATATATTAATAATCCACTTTGTGTTGTACAAACTACGTGTATAAATTATGTCTCTTATTTTCGGTTGTAACATTTGACTTTTCATGAATAAATTAATAGTTGATGTTGTGCACAATTGCATTTTCTTGTTTTCTCGCTTTCTCTCTGGATCTTTTATCTTTTCTAAAATGCGGTGGTTGTGCAAAAAAGGAAGAAAAAAAAAATTGCCTCCTATGGGTAATCCGATTGAGGTCATACTTCATTGGAGCGTCGCATGGTGGCTTTAAGCGTGGGCTCCTCTTCTCTCTCTCTCTCTCGAATCCCAACGCTGACCTGCCTTATACACATCAGTTTCAGCTGTGTGGCATAAAGTCAGTCCTAACTTTAGCTCTGGCGTTAAGTCTCTATTTGCACATGTTTACTTCGTCTGCTGCTGCGAGAAAGCCTGCTTTGTTACTTAACGTAACTTTATTTGCTCGACTACCAACTTATTGCTGTACATACACAACACACAGAATTGTTTGTGCCCACCACAAAACCAACTAGAATTTTCACCAAAGATACAACATTGAAATAGGAGTAAGACATGAAACTACAACAACATTCTTATGATAAAAATTAAAAATAAATTTTTAAAAATATAAAATTTTATAACAGTATAAATATTCCCTTAATGTGGAATAATTTAAAAGAACTTTTGAAGATAAAATTATTAACTGAAGATAGCAATAGATCTTAGAGGCACTGAGAAGGATATGAATTGTATCATTAACAATATAAATTGTACCATTAACAATATGGATTGTACCATTTAGAATATACCATTTGCAACATACATTTTACTCTCCGCATCTATAATTTACAATTGTTTGAAACACAGATTTTATTCTAAGAAATAAAATTGTCAATGACTTTAACTTATCAAACTGGATATTTTAGAGAAGAACAATATGTAACAAATTTTTAGTCAAAAATTCGAATTTCACTTTAACCCTTATATACGATAAAATATAACATCGATCGATATACGCGCCTTTTGCCAAGCTTAATATATTTTGATCTCAGTCCTCTTGTACAGGGTAGAAGGCTATTTACATGGGAGAATAATCAATTGCGTTTTGCATAACTTCCATTCGTTAACTCGAGTTCGATGAACTATGATTCTACCTTGGCTGAAATTCAATATCAATTACAAAAATATCATGGCAAACAAACAAAATATCATATATACATTGTTAACCAATCCTCACTAATCTTATCACATTTCACATATAAAGAAGATTATCCTGATTGTGTAAATTCAATTTTTGTTTAATATTCAAATAATTCATAAATAAAAAAATTTAAACTGAATTGAATGAAAAACAATTTTTAAACAGTAAAATAAATCTATTTCTGCTTTTCAACTCTGGTGAATGAACTCTAAATGCATTTTCAAATTCTCATTTTCTTTTATAGAAACTAATTGAAAAACATTTTTTTCGATGTTAAAAAAAGATAATATTCTTTTTCTGTTATAAAGAACAAATTCTTATTTTTGCGGTTCATTTATAGAAAGCGAAAATTTCATTATCTCAAAACATAAAATGCTTGAAATTCTTTATATATATTTATAGCATACTAAAAATGTATACATAAAGGTGTAGTTATTTCGAAAAAAAAAATGTTCACGTTATTTTGAGGCGACAAAAAAAAATGTTGTGGTTGATAAAAGAAAACTAGGTTAATACCTCGTATTTATGATCATCAATCAAAATTTAAGTGACACTCCCTAGAGGGCTGTCAAGATTGGTCAAATCTATCTCTTGAGTATCCTAGACCCTTGACCATAAATGTCATTAAAGTCAGGGAATTACTTAAGGTGTAGCTTGAGTTAATTTTAATCAACTAACTTAATTAGCACTATTTCAGAAAAAAAGAAAGAAGTAAATAAAACTTAAATTATAATTCAAGATTTATTAATAATTATTAATAATGTATTATTTATATTTAATAATTTTTTTTTTATAATTATTAATAGTTTATTTATATTTATTTCATATTGTTAATATTTCATTGACATTGAGTTGTAATTTAATAAGAAAAAACACTTTAAATTGAAAATTTTTGGATATAACGCTTTCACATATATATCTACCTTACCGACTGATGGTAAATCAGAATTTTGAAAAAAGAAAATATTAAAAATTACCGATACAGAAATCTACTTTACCGACTGATGGTAAAACAAAATTTTGGAAAAAGAAAATATAAAAGTTACCGACACAGAAATCTACCTTACCAACTGATGGTAAAACAATTTTTTAAAAATCTAAAATCACCGCCATTATAACCATCAGTCGGTAAGGTAGATTTCTGTGTCGGTAATTTTATATTTTCATTTCTCAAAAAATTGTTTTGCCATCAGTCGGTAAGGTAGATTTCTGTGTCGGTAATTTTTTTATATTTTCTTTTTTCAAAATTCTGTTTTACCATCAGCCGGTAAATTAGATTTCTGTGTCGGTAATTTTTTTTATTGATGATCGTGTAACTTTACTACTAGTACTTTACTACCTTGAATTTTTAAAAGCTACGATTGTTTCAAATAGAGTTATAAAAATTAATAGCGCAATTATAGTTGCAATATAGATACATATTGCAATATACTTTTTGTTTGAAACGATCAATAGCTACTTTTTATAAATAATATAACTTAAATGACCAGCTTGAAATTGTATGAAAAATATTTACAGAGTTATTTGTTAGAATTTGTACATATAACCTCAGTATGAATAATTTTGATGAAAGAGAGCAGAACTATATATCAGGTGAAAAATGATAGTTGAACTATGTGAAATGTTAAGTTGACACATTATTTCAAAAGGAAATATCTTGGTATACATTTCATATGTCTTATATGAAGACAACAATATATAACATCGAAGAGTATGTGAGAGTGCATAATATTCTGTCAAGTATATATACATATATATATACAACTTGCGCTTATCTGAAGAGTACCCAGAGAGATTTTAGAGT